ATGTCAAAGTGGTGGTCCAAATGGACCACTGAGAATTAAATTTCGTGGTCCAAAACGAGAATTGGGTGGTCTCTGGACGCAAGACCACCGCTAATTTCGAGCCCTGAACCTTGTTCACAAATAATACAGGATGACACAAAATGTGCACATCATGCAAGATGTTAATTCTAGATTCCAGTTGTTTTCCAACTTTAATACCTGGATACCAAGTAGATCCATGTTTGTCCATGTTTGTCTAGGTTCATTACCGGCAATACAAATTTCTGACGAAAAGGCACCCTGACTGCATACAATGCATGGCATAAGTTTTGTAATAACCTGAAGCTAATATTTAAGATGATCTAAAGTACATCAAATAAAAATAATTATTTATTTTCTTTTTCAGATATGATTGGCACCAAACTGGAAACTTTGTTTTTATATCCGTATTTGCTAAAGTTGCCTGTCCACAACTAACATATGTTGAAGCCAATCAGACCTCTGTATTCATCAGTATAGTATTTGGTAAAGAGGAGAATCATTTTCAGGAAGAGATAGAACTTTATGGGGTAAGTCATTTCAAGAAATATTTTTTGCTAATTTAGTAAATTTTTTTCTTATAGTGAAATTTAGTTTTTTTCATAGTTATTTCTCCAATGTATGTTGTGATTATTTATGGACCAGTTTTGCCTTTTGTTTATGCCAAGCTGAAGGGATGTTGTAGTGCTCAGCAATCCTGCATGATCCTATTTTTCAATGTAGTATGTTAGAACAGACTCACCTTATTACCTTTCATAATAAACCCCTTTTATGTTGGGCTACCTGGTGTTCAGCTGATGATAGATAACTCAGAAAAAGTACCAATGACTTGTTCTCATGAAACTTACATATTATAGCTGGTGGATGCTATACTGAAGAGCTAAATGATCCAACTCTAGTCAACGACTAACACCCAATTCTGAGTGCTGAGATACAAGTTCAACCTGGCATTCATCAATAATGTCACAGGATCTATTACCCTAGCTTCCTCCATCTTTTGCTCCGCTTCGCTACCAAAAATAGACAATACTATTGCTATACAATTCCTGTTCTGCCCACTATATGTTTGCATATCTTGACCTTAAGGCTTTGAGAAACCAAAGTGAATAATTAATAAATTACATTCTCATATTTGTCAACTGACGGGTGATTCTAATGCAACAGAATCATGAAGGTGTTTTTTGTTGTTTTATTTTTGTTTGCTGTAGATGTTGCATTTTCTATGACACAGTAAATCAATGTTCAATTACTGTAGCTGTGTTGTGATTGTTGTATCAGTGTTGTGATTGTTGTGTGGTTTGAGTAAATTATCATTCAATGGCATCAAAACACATTAAGCAACTTTCTATTTTGGCTGGACTTGCAGTGAACAGAAACGGGAAACGGGAACGGGAACCCCCCATATGGCATAATATAGATTTTTTGAATACTTGACAGACATTAAAATAAAAAACGAACTGCCAATGTTAATCATTTTGCTCATGTATACACATGCATATTCCTTCAATAAATGTATCAAAGGATTCAATTTTGTCCAGACAATATTTGTGAGACTCCATTGGCGATGGCAATGACTTTCAGTACATAACTTACATAAATAATTAAGGACGTGTGAATAAATAATTTACTCACATCTAATTTCAGAGTGCAGACGAATCTTATAGCAAATGTACTGGCATCTATTTTCAGTAGCAAAACTGAGAAACAGACAGAAGGAAACTGGGTTAATGATCTGTATTGTAGTGGCAAAATGTCAGTCATTCGTCATTTTATCTTTTATTTGTCTGTGCGATAACTCAAATAATATTCAGCCAATCACTTATTAAACTTACATGTATATGGTTAATCTGTAGGTATAGTTCGCCTGTATAGATTTTAGTGTTGATCTACTTAAAATTGTGTTTTTGGTGTGTGTTTTTTTTAAAGTTTACATGTACCGTATTTATCCGGGAATGTGCCCAGGGTCCTGAAAATTGCCAAAAAATAGGGTGGGCGTTTGCCAGATTTTCCACGGCAAAAAAATCTGAAAATTCACGAAAATTGACAACATGCAGATCAAACTGGGCAGGGAATAGAACAGCAAATGAAAACATGCAACAGAAATAAATGAACAATATGCAACATTAGAAGTAAAACAAAAATAATGTATTGCTTATAATACAAATAAACCAGAAATAATAAAAATCAACAGTGAGGAATCATTTGAATTAGGATTTTCCCGCCGACAAACTCGCCCAATAAGCGTGAACTCAAAATGAATTAAAATGTCAGGGGTTAAACTGTGTAAAATGATTTCTGGTCTCGACAAATTACTAATCAACTGTCATACAAGATCAATAATAATTTACATAGTAAAAATTATATTAGCTGTTTGAAAAAACTTCTCAGATCTTTATTTGTATGTTCATTGCCATCTTCGTCAAACTCAAAACCCTCAAAGTCCAAGTCGGCGTCACTGTAGCCGTCGAACAAAATCCCTACAACTTCTCCCCGAAGTTC